GGGTCAGCTTTGTGAGGCTTGGGGCCCAGTATAGTTCGTGCTCCTTGCAGGGAGCTCGGGTTCTCAGTAGGGAGCTCGCTCTTAATAGGGAGCTCGGACTCCCAGTAGGGAGCTTGCTCAATAGGGAGCTCGGGTTCTTAGGGAGCTCGGACTCCCAGTAGGGAGCTTGCTCAATAGGGAGCTCGGATTTTAGGGAGCTCGGGTTCTTAGGGAGCTCGGACCCTTAACAGGGAGCTCGGGCTCTTAGTAGGGAGCTCGGACTTAGGGAGCTCGGGTTCTTATTTAGGGAGCTCGGATCCTTAACAGGGAGCTCGCTCTTAACAGGGAGCTCGGACTAAGTACAGCGGTCTGGAGTTCGGGCTCGGTAGTGAGCTTGGACTTGTTTCCGATGTTCGCTTTGGGCACTCTACTGTCCCGAGCTGCTTGCCTTTGCCACGTGTCGGACGATCGCGAGGTCGGGCCAAATTTCCCTTCATCAGTAACTATTGTCACAATTGACTTATTCTACCCCTTTCGTTAACCTCCCTTAATATTCCATCAGCATCCGTACACATGTGACACCATGTAATATTTTTTTTTTTTAAATCCAATATTACCCTCTCTCTCTCTCTCACTCTTCCCTTTAACTTTCTAGCAAGGAAATGGAATCACCATCTTTAGGGAATGGCTGGAATTGTGTTCAACAACGGCTAGAGTAAAATCTCTCATCGATTTCATTCATGCAATTCATCGAAAGATCTAATGTCAAGCTATTGTTCCAAATTGATAGAGGGAGATCGATTTGAATGCTTTGTTTGTCGATGTGCCAAACGTAGTAGAACAAGTCTTTCCCGAGGAGTGCTCTGTCTCTGCTAGTCTTATTGCAGGAAGCGACTCACCGTGACTTTGTAGAAAACCATAATCTTTGTTAGAAAGGTGTCCTCATCGGACGTTTCTGAGAAATGACACTGACCAACCTTTGCGAAGTAGCAAAACCAACATCCCCGAATAAGCCCTGAACAGAGGTAGACGAGAATCCAATGAGGGCTTTTCCTAATGAGAATCCAGTGGAGATTAAGAATGACTCTATTCATCTGATCTCTTCTCCTTGTTTCTCGGTCTCTGTCTCGTTCTGCTCTCTTTTTTTTTACCAGCTTTTTTCAGTTCTTTTTGTCTTTTCATGATAGTTGAATGAGTTGCAGTAGGGATTTTTTTGCTAGAAACAATAGTGATGGTTGATTCTGATTTAAATCTTCCTTTTTTTTTTTTTTGAGGCTTAGAGTGGGTTTGCTTCTTTCTTGATTATCCAGGACCAATGTTGGTTTGCTTGTGTTGTGCAGAGTTGCAAGAGAAGTCTAGTTTTGGGTCTGTGTATAAATCTTACTTGAATTGAATGCTTATTAGAATGAAGACAGTGAATGCCGCTACAAACCCTCTGTGTGTAAATCTAATGTTTGTTACAATGAAGATTCATCCATGATCGCTTTATTGAAAAAAAAATTGATAGAGAAATGGAGGCAGAGGTGGAGACACAGAAGGGCTGAGGTGCGAAGGTGACAGTGATGACCGTTGCAAACACTTCCTAACATGGTCAGCGATGACAACTTATCCGAGAAGAACCGATGGAGAGATTTTAGCCTTGTTGCAGGAAGCAACTCGGATAAAGCAGAGCTCCTCTCTTCAGATGCTGGATCGTTTTGCTCTGGCTCTCCCAACCATGGAAGATGACAACAGCAATGGAGATGGCAACAAAACTGACAGTGACTCGACAACAACCGATGGAAAGGAGAAAATGACGTTTTCTGGACAACCAACAGGCACCGGGATTGTAAAAATTTGAAACAAAATAATGGATAAAATAATCTTTTTCTGCCTTTCCGTTAACGGAATTAACGGTTTAGACAATTATAAAAAAAAAAAATTAGAGGTATTTTTAAGATAATATTTAAACAGTAAAAATAGAATTAATCAACAAGCTAAACTATAAATGATAAAGGTAATTTAAAAAAAGTGCCCTTCATTGAACGACTCCACTGTAAAAAAATTCTGACTACACCACTCCATGGGCCCCAATACCTGATTCCCACGTTCATGTATAGGCAACAGTCATGTTGCATTCTTGATTGGTTAAGTGGCACGTTAGATTGAGATTTTATCAAAAGTTCGATGGGACAAACCCGAAACCCGAACCCAAAACAGTTGGGCCAACCCGACATGTAAAGAACAGTTGAGCATGTGACTTTTAAGATTTTGTATGTTACGAAAAGAAAGTAGTTGTAGGGTTAGTTGAGATAGGTAGCGGTTCACATCCAAATAAAAGTATAAACGGGTGAAGCTTATAGATTTGGCTTGCCGTGCCATCTAACGAAAGAGAAAGATTTTAACTTCTCATCTCCGTTGTTATCACTTATCACGTAATTCTTGAAGCCCAAAAGGTTTGTTTTCTAGCCTCAAACTTTACTTGAGGTCCAGGGGGTGGTCACCTTAAATTTTATTGATTATTATCAAATAAAAATTAGAATAGATAGTGGAGGTCGTAGCCCCTCATACCCCTTGCCCAGTATAAAATGTACTCATCTCAATACCACAAAAAAATAATAATACTACAATCAGGGTTATCCAATTCTCAGAATAGGGAAATTGGCATAATCTTCACCCAAAAGCCCAAAAGGTTTTTGGTCTCTTCTTTTCTTTCATTCTGTACACAAACATATACACCTCCGATTATGGACGTGTCACCATGTGTTTACCTGTGCTTGGGACTGATGCTGATTTCTCTGATAATATTTCTTAAAAATCACTAATTTTTGTAATAATTGGTTTCTTAGAAAGAAACCAAAGAATTTGTTTATTTGATACTATTACTCTCACGATCAGTTGGTTTTTCATAAATCAGTTATTATGAATTTATTTGATAGTGATTATTAGTAGTGATTTTTGTTTTATATGGGAATCATCTCTCTTATTTATGTCAGATGCTACATCATCCAAAAGGAATTGGAATCTGTCTCACAAGAAAAACCATTGAATTTACCGGTTTCTCTTCTTAGCATGATTTTAATAATCGTTTTCTAACCGATTTGTTGATCTCTACCAGCCAAACGTCAAAATAATTTTTAAATCGCTGATGTGGCTCTGTCATCGTGCCGATTTATGAAAAATCGGCATCGGTCCCAAACTCCACCATCATCTATCTCCCCTCGCTGAAGACAAACCTAAATGCCAAGACTGAGAAAAAGAAACAATTGCTTGCCAAATTATAAATGCAAATATATAGCGTGCAAAACCTTATACTTTGTATTATTTTATATGTATTTGTAATATATATATATATATATATATATATTTGCATTTTTTTACTCTTTTCAAATTGAACCAATATAGATAATCAAGGTCAAGAGAGAATGTCCGCTTTGCAAAGGAATAAAATGAGAGTTTCTTGCATCTATTTTTATTGTTATTTCTAGCTAGTTTTTACAATGCATATCATTCTTTAGTATGTGTTTTGTTTCGTTTACGTTTTTTCATTCAATATTTGTAATTTATTTGTTTGTAAAACCGAAAATGATAATAATTGCAATCGTTTATGATAATTAGACATCACTAGGCTCCACATCAGTGTAACAGTGAAAAACGGTCGTATAGTTCGTGGAAATTTTAAAAAATAACTTCCCTTAATGATAGACATGTACAAAAATCAAAGTCAACTTTTATCATTTTAAATGCATAAAGAAGAATAAGAGAAAGAAACCACTTAAGTGGCCGTGGAGGGTTAACGATGGCCCAATTAGATCTGGAGAGATAGAAATCGTCACAAACCACGCAAGGCCCATGTGACGTGATATCAAGTAACATGTGCCCATGGGAAAAGAAGGTTCATCTGCTCCCACGCAACTTCAAGCCATCCGTGTTTCCAACTTTCAACTGAATTTCAAATTATAATGGCTGTTTGATTGGAATCTTTCTTCTCGCTTCATTCTGTTGCCAGCCAAGTTGTACACATTTCCCCGGATTTCCATTCAGATTGTAACAGGTGTTGCTTCAGTTCAATGTGTACTGTCAAACTCATAGAGTTTAGGTATTTACGAAGTAAACGTGTCGTCAGACCCCCGTCGCATGCCGATTTGCGGAAATCCGAACTTTGCTAAGGTCAACTTTTAGCAAAAGCCATAGCCGGCTTTCCCGCACTCTTTCTTTCAGACCCTTGTGTCTACCCATAAGCACAGGTTGGTTAAAAGTCAAGTGGTAATTTGTGCGTCCATTTTTCCCAGAGAAGCCGCTTACTCACTCAGTCAGTCTGCACACTTGCACAGAATTGAAAAGAAACGAACACTTGAAAAAGCCGTACGTTCCGGTCCAACTGAGTTCCTTTCCTGCTGTAGTGCTTTGCCCTCTCACTCCCTCGAAAAGGCTTCTCTGCTTATACTCTTCCGAGTTTTTTTTGGTCTATTTCTTTGTTCCCTTGGAAAGGTTGTAACCTAATTTCCACCAAAAGAGTCAAGAAACTGCAGGAGTGAGAGAGTGAAGACAGATTTTTCCTTTGATGGACTCCATTTCGCCGACGATCGGCGTAAAATTCGTCGCTCCACTGAAGAAACCTCCTTGTTTTTTCGGGTTTTCAGGCTCCAGCCTTCCGCGTTTGCGATCTTTCGATAGAATTTTCCAGAAAAGTCGTGTCTTTACTGAGACCAGGAATCCGGCGATAGACTTCAGTGACCCTCATTGGAAAACCAAGTTTCAGGGGGATTTCGAGAGACGATTCAACCTTCCTCATCTCACTGACCTCTTCGACGATATCGAACCCATTCCATCTACCTTTTGTCTCAAGAGCAGGTTTTCTTTCTGTTCTTTTACTTACTTAATTCCCAATACAGTTGAAGTTCCTTCATCCTCTTCCATGGTTTTCCTCCGTTTTATTTATTTATTTGTTTAATCATGAAATTGTCTGTTTTTCATATCCTTCTTATGTTTCAGGCTCCCCGTGTCCGAGGAGTTTGCAGATGGTTATCCATCAGATGAGAAGTGGCATGGATATATAAACAACAACGACAGAGTTCTTCTTAAGGTATTCCTGCCATGCCTTTGTGACTTTCGACTTTGCATTGTATAAGGGTATTTCATATTTGCCTCCCCAATTATAACAAATAGGCTATGGGGACGTTATGTTTGTAAACAAAGACTTCCTTCTCCTTTCGCCTTCTGCAAGGGATCAATATCAGTGCTCAGCGGTTTCTGCTTCTCTTAAGCTGGGTGATCTGTTGATGTTACAAGCAGAAATACTAAAGTAGTGCAAGACTCATAGAAAAAGTTCCAATTCTCTTGATCACAATAATACTTGGCTGTTTGCTGAGCACATTTTGAGGATCCTAAGACAAGGATCAAATAACTTAATGAACAAATGCTGTAATTTAAGGTGGGGATCTAGTTTGGAATTGAACTGATGAAAATCTCATTATATAAATAGTTTTATTTCTCAAAAGGCATTATATATAACTGTATCTTGATAGTAATCAGTATTTTACCTGGCGATATCTACCTCTTTGTTTTTTAATAATTGTGCACAATGAAGAATATCATGTCAAAAAATGTTATTTTAATTCCAAACCAGTAATCAGTATCCTGCTTGCAGAGAAAAGGAAATGAGTATTATCTTTCCAGTGATAATTCTGCTCACTGAATAGTAAATAAGCAGAGGACATCCAGCCTGACTTTTTTAACTTACCATGTATGTAACAGCTATTTGGTTTCTATTGTGAAACATGAAACCTAGTTCCCTGCCTGTGCTGCAAGGTCTTGTTTTGACTTAACAAGGCCAATAAGTTATATTCATTCTGTACACCTTATGTTTCCAGGGATTTCTATTTTCCTAATATTATTTAGACATAAGCTAACCTTTATCCAATTTTCAGGTCATACACTACTCCTCACCTACATCTGCTGGTGCTGAGTGCATTGATCCAGCTTGTACTTGGGTTGAGCAGTGGTGAGTGTGTAACTGAACTTGCCTTCTCACGTGGTTGTAGGTCATATGCTGTCATGTTTAGCCATGAATGGATGTTTCTTATGATGTAAATGTACTTTTATTGCTGTGAGGGCAAACAGAGGATTTTGTGATTAAATACCTATAACTTATTTGATGTCAAAAGAGAAATCAAGGAAGATATGTTGAAAATTTTAGTTCCATTGATGCATCAAAATATTACTTACAGAAATGTAGTTTCAAATCAGTAATTAAAAGCTTCTTGGTGAGTTTCTTATAACTATATTTATAGAGGAAAACCTTTCACAGAGAAAAAAAGAAATATGGTGGGCAAGATCCGCCATCTGGGGAACATTTTATTGTGTTTATGAAAAATCTTATATTTTTCACCTATTCTCTCCCCAAATGGCAAAGTCACGGATTGTTAAGTTTTAAGAGCCATTACCTGATGTTGATCCTGGCTATCCAGGTTTCTGGAGCCTTAATTTACTTATGCCCCTCTCCCCTCAAATGATGGGCAAGTATCAGTTAAAAAACCGTTGTCATATCATAGAATAATCACTTTATTGCTTCCACTTTTTTAATTGAGAATATGGGAACTTTGGACTGCTAATATCTCTCGAGGAAAACACCATCAGAAAGTTGAGGTCTAGGCCCTCTAAGGACTGAGGGAGTGAACACCTGAACAATCTGAGGATCCCCTTTCTCATGGATGGCTCATAGTGGCATAATGTTGTGCATGACAGATATAGGTAGGGTCATCTAGAGGAGCCTAGTTGACTCGATTTGCCATCTGTAAATGCATACACACTGAGACATTTGCGGAGTCCATATGCTTTTGGACTTTCAATTTTAGAATGAACCTATGAGCACCTGATAGAAGTTTTACTAGAGCCTTAAATTAGTCTTTATTTCATCTGGTTGTATAAGTTCATCCTGATAAAAGCAACAAATACCAATATCTACAGTGCAAAGCCTTGTATTTTGTATTTATAAACCTGTATTTGCACTGACATATTTGTATTTGTACTCGTTCCAAACTGAGCCTTAGTTGAATTATGTTTCATTTGATGATCACTAATAAGTGTCATAACAAATGCCCTTTAACAACCTATTATATCTAATTGATATGATCCTGTAATCATTACAGGATTCATCGTGCTGGTCCACGTGAGAAAATATACTTCAAACCAGAACAAGTAAATGCAGCAATTGTAACTTGTGGTGGGCTTTGTCCTGGTCTTAATGATGTTATCAGACAGGTATTTTATTTATAATAAACTGATCCCATAGCTTTATATATTTTTTCAATGAACTCTATTCAGTTTCCCATGATTCATTTGGCATATTTGTCACACAGGATGATGTAAAAATCATAGCTGTATGCTCTTGATGAGTAAAAAGGTATTATTAACATTGCATGATAAAATTTTGTGAAATACTAGTAGAAACTAGGCATCTTTGCCATGTCTTATTCATGAACAATATAAAAAATAATGTTCTTAAGACTCAAGTTAAGTGGCATTTACTGCCTTGATCTTGCCCATTGTTGCCACTGAACCACCTTTAGTGAAGGAAGATCACGCTTGAAATAACAGAGGGGGAAAAGGCTCAAAAATGCAAAAAGGATTTCTTCTGTCTTGTAGCATCTCTAGATACCCAATAATAAAAAAACATCTCTCCCAGTCCACCTCTCTCCATGAGGCATAACCATATCCTCAGGCCCTATATGGTGCAAGGATAAGGGTGAATGGAATTTTCCATTCATTTAAGCTTTTCTTAGTCTTGAGCTCCAGACAACATTTTCCCATTTTCTCACTGATCAAACAACAATCATGGTGTTACCATTAATTGCCAACCTATAAATAATGCGGATGAGAGTCTGAAGTGATAAATTCCTTTTCCCCTTTTCAAAATTATTATTGCATAACCTTAAGAAATACTGCAGTATTAATTGAACTGGGTTTTTGTTTTTCATTTTTATTCTTCCCATGAGTGAATTCATGAATTTGAGTTTTTGGGATTTGTTTGCTCATTTGACTTTTATATACTGCAGATAGTTATCACTCTTGAGATATATGGTGTAAAAAGGATCATGGGGATACCTTTTGGCTATCGTGGATTTTCTGACCAGGGAATACATGAAATGCAAGTATGTTTATTCATCCTCACTATGGCATAGCACCAGGATTTAATAGGATCATTTCTGAATAACTAATTTATATTTTATAGCACTACTTCCTAGATTTCAAGAGGTACCTCTATAAGATTCATTTATATGTATTCAATCTGATTTTGATATTTAGCTAAGTCGGAAAGTGGTCCAAAATATTCACCTTGCTGGTGGAAGCTTGTTAGGAATTTCACGTGGAGGTCCCACCATCAGTGAGATTGTGGACAGTATGGAGGTATATAATTTCTCATTTCATATTAGCACATTATTCTTAAATAGTTTCCTTAACTTGTTTCCTATTCCCAGGCATAATGTATTCTTATAAATTTGCTTGTAAATGGTGTCAGGAAAGAGGAATCAACATGCTGTTTGTGCTGGGTGGAAATGGTACACATGCTGGTGCAAATGCAATCCACAATGAGGTTGTTGAGTCTGCATCCACTTCAGTTCAGCATTATCACACCTAATATATAAACAGATGTTGCCAACATGCAATGTATTACAATGTCTGTTTTGTGCCGACTTATATGAATGCATATGGCTTGAAATCATTAAAAACTGTGAAGCAGGGGATTCCTATTTTACTTAAAAATGGATGTTGCCAGCATGCATTTTAGAGTCACTTTGACTGGGATAACCAGTCCTAATTTGCCTCCTTGATTTCTTGTTTTGTTTTTTGATATATAGATTATGTTCCGGTTCTGGAAGTTTACATTCTTTTTCTCTGCGAAGGTTCATTTGATGTGGTTCAAAATTTTCAGTGCCGAAAAAGACGCTTGAAAGTGGCTGTTGTTGGTGTCCCAAAAACTATAGACAATGATATTTTACATATGGATAAGACCTTCGGTTTTGATACTGCTGTAGAAGAAGCACAACGGGCAATAAATTCTGCCTACATTGAGGTATAAATTGACTATGACACTAGTAACAATTTCTCCTTGTGTATTTATTTTCCTTCCTCAATTCTGTACATGTATCAAGGTCCCTTTCTCAGAGATACCTTCTTAATATCAACATTTGTGCCAAACTGAAACTTTTATTCATTCACTTATATTTTTTAAATTTCTTTTCAATCTCTTAACAGGCACATAGTGCTTATCATGGTATTGGCATTGTCAAATTGATGGGTCGAAGCAGTGGATTTATTGCCATGCATGCATCCTTAGCTAGTGGACAAGTTGATATATGTCTGATACCAGAGGTTTGTTTATGGCATGATGTTCTCTCTTCTTGCATTCTAAGTTTTGTTATTTTTATTGAGAGAATCTAAGTTTCATTTTTGTTTGATTTAAGGTACCTTTTCATTTGCATGGTCCCAATGGTGTTTTGAAGCATTTGAGGTATCTAGTTGAGACAAAGGGATCAGCTGTAGTCTGCGTAGCTGAGGGAGCAGGCCAGGTTGGTTATATGCTTTAGCTCCAGGGTAGTGGCTTCAAAAAATATGAATTAAACCATAAACTATGTAATTTAATTTATCTCATTCCAAGCACATCATTCAACTTCCCTTGCATGTTGTTTCTATTATTGAAAAGAAAATAGAGGGAAAATGTCCCATACATGTTATATTTTAACACAAAATAATAAAAAAAAACAGATTTAGTACTTTGAATCTGCGGGTGATTTAGTTAGGGTGAAATCTTAGCTTGAGATTGTTTAGGTTCTACAAAGAATAAAAGAGGGGGGGAAGAAAAAGAAACAAGAGAACCATTTTCAACTGACCACACATACCAAGAAGACATAAAGTAGTGCATAAATGACATCAAAACAAAACCCCAAAATTAACTTCCACTAGAAAGTTTTCAGTTCAATATCCAAAAACATGAACTTTCTGCGTCTTTTCTTTACTTTCCAACCCTTACAACTTCTTTGTATACAAATTTATTATTGATAAATTAAACTATACATATATTAGCCATGCAGGGTAAGGTTGATTCATCAACACATATGTTCAAATATACATACATATTTATTTGTTAAACTCTCTTTCAAGTGTTTGCTTCTTGTGTAATTCCCTGCTTTCCAAATTCAGATGTTTTGTTTTATTGAACTCAATATTGTTTTTGGTGCAGAACTTTCTTGAGAAGACTAATGCTACAGATCCATCTGGAAATATTGTACTTGGAGATATTGGTGTGCACATTCAACAGGAGGTCAGTACTTCTATCTGCATACTATGCCTTTGGAAATATTGAATTAGCTAAGAAAGTACAACAATGCAGTACCTATAGTTGTTAACTAATAAACACTGTTTACCTTGTTGAACTTTAAATAGTTATTCCAAGAGCATTTTTAGTATTTTGTCCTATGAACTTCAAAAGTTTGAATTGTAATGAAGGCAATAGTTGTATCTTCAGGTCTAACCTTACCTTTCACACTGGACAAAATTTGTAGGCCATTATGTTATAAACAGCCACTTTATTGTATTGATTTCCATTTTGATATTTTATTCAGACAAAGAAGTACTTCAAGGAGATCGATGTTCCAGCTGATGTGAAGTATATTGATCCCACGTACATGATTCGTGCATGCCGTGCAAATGCATCCGATGGCATTCTTTGCACTGTTCTAGGACAGAATGCAGTGAGTTACTCTCTTTGCTCATGTTCTGTAGCTATCTTGGTGCAAAGTTTTTTAGTGGCCACAATTCAGCCTAAGTATCATTTATTGGTAATGTCCACACAATCATCATCATCTAAGCCTTTTCCCCAATTATAGTGTTCACATGGATAATTAAGCAAATAAAAAAGCAGGTGTGCGGAAGATGAACACCCCAAATGAGAGTTGATTTTCTGATCAGTTTGTTGTTTTTGGGGATCCCCTAGGTAGAGTTCATTTAATAATGGTCATGATCCACCTACACTATTTTCCTGTGAAACAAACAACTTGGGGATTTCTCATTTTCTCTCCCTTTATTTTTATTCTGAATTGTTTTGCTGTTCATTAAATATTATCAGGTTTCTTCTGGGGAGAAAGTGGTAGTGGTGTGGCTGTTTTTTGTTCACAGAAAACATGGCTCTCAATTAGACCTGGCAATTGGGTTGGGTGGGTCGGGTTTGGGTTTGGGTTGGGTCAAGACATTTCAGGTTGATTTTCGGGTTGGGTTATCAAATGCTATACCCTAACCCTACATGTTCGGGTTAGGGTTGACCCATGGGTCAACTCGGGTCATCCCAAAAAATAACTGAAATTTAAAAAAGTAAAGAAAAAACTACATGAAAAATGCCAAAATTAAAGGAATTAACCTTAAAATTCTAAATATAAAATAAAAAAACTTGGAACACTTAACAATTTAAAGAGTAAACAATAAATAGAAAAAATTAAAAGAGTGAAAACTTCTAACAATGCATAAATAGTCCCAATTAGACTTGACAATCGGGTCGGCGGGTTGACCCATGACCCAACCCATTTTTCGGGTCGGGTCAGACCATCTCGCATTCAGGTAGCTAAACATGAGACCCTAACCCTGTTTTTTCGGGTTGGGTTGGGTTGGAATAGAACAGTATGATAGGACAGGATTACGCCTTGACCCTAAATAATTGTTATTATTGCTGAGTTGGGTTTGTAGTGGTTTTTATCATCATTATCATGATATCATCATCATCATCCAAGCCTTATCCCTACTCTATGGGGTTGGCCACATGAATCCTGTTTCGCCGGTATATTCTGTTTAATGCTGTCTATCCATTGTCAAATTTGTAGTCGGTAGTGGTCTGATAATTGCATGGTTTGAGCAGGTTCATGGAGCATTTGCTGGATATGGTGGCATTACAGTGGGCATTTGCAATACTCACTATGTCTATTTTCCAATTCCTGAAGTCATTTCTTACCCCAGGCAATTGGACCCTAACAGTCGGATGTGGCACCGTTGCTTGACATCAACAGGGCAGCCAGACTTTACGTGATTATAAAGACTAGATACCGATTTATTCCAAGAAAATATGGATTCTATGCACATTGATGTGTAAATAAGAACAGTGAGGCCGGCTTCCGAAGATTGAGAAAACAAGTCGGCTAGAAATAACACAAGTGGATTACTTCCACTTTGCAGGGCTTCAAAATTTTCATGTAGAATTTTGTTAAGATTTTGGCCTTAACCTCATGAGTCATGAGCCATGAGTTATCGCGGGAAATAATATTGAAGAGGAATCAACCCACATTCTTGGAATGGTTCTGATGTTTTGTATTAGATATTGTAATAAAGTTCAAAGGCCAAATAACAAGGATTCTGGTTTCATGTCCAGCCTTCTTCAATCATAGTTGGTCAGATTGCTAATCTTCTTTTCAATTGTTTTGGTTCGACGTAATTAAATTGGTTCTCATGGATCTGCATTCTGCAAGATAAACCACGGAATCCGATAAGTTAATGGGCTCCTAGGACCACCCCCTCCGTGGGCTAGTGCATCATGTCGGCCTACTAAATTATGGGCTCCGGCTCCCCCTTACGGCTTTACCCATATTTTTTTCTCACAAAAGTCAAAATATCTATTCCCTCTATATAAAGGAGAGTCTTTTGCACACGTGTCATATAGACGGATATTTATACACGTGCATGGGCTCCCAACTTTTGACCACTTATTATGGTTTGAAAGTCGAAACAAAGATAAAAGATCTGTGGCCGGTTTATGCAAAAGAGATATGCCAAAATCAATCCCTTTTTATTTACCATAATGCCATTGATTCCTTTCATTTTGACCTGGTCAAAGATCAGCTCCCTGTAGTCGCGCCACGTCACCTTCAGAATTACTATGTACAGGGTAGTCACGAGGAAGCAGAAGTAATTGTCCTTTGTGGCAGGGATACGTGGTGGAATCTTAGACAACCAACAATGTACAGGGCTGTTGCTGATCCAGTTCAAGAAGACAAGTCGCTGCGTTTAACTTAATTCAAAGATGAACATGAACGCGCTTAACAAACAAAGTACTCTAGTGGCCAACGATGCTCTGTAGTCTGTACTGTTTTCCTTCTCAACTATTACAGACCACAGTCTACACTCTACACTACAGTATAAGAATGTGATTAATCTAACCACACTGACTCTCTAACCATGGTTATGCGTGTACTTAAATAAAACTCTCTCTCTCTCTCATGTGAGCACTATCAATCACTTAAATAATAAGGGAAAATGCGCTTTCTGGGATTATATTAATGGTGCCTGGCACACCATCAAAGTAGTTGAAAATCAAAATGCACCCTCACAGTTCAGTAGTTCACACACACAATCACTCTCCTCTCTTTAAAAATTAAAAGGTTGTAGCTGGAGGGCCACGTGGTGCCTGGTATAAAAGAGAAACCATAAGCTCCTCATGTCTTACCATCCAAAGAAAATTCATTCAGAATGAGTGACAATAATAGACAAATGAATCCGTTCTCAGTAACCCACCTGTCTTCCTTCTCACTCCTCGTCACCATAACCCATCTCTCTCACTCCCTCCAACCTCCACTCCATACTTAAAAAAAGGTTTCAGCATTGGGTCTTGTGAAGTCACGTAGGCATCATTCATTTCCATTTTCTTTTTTCCCAGACACAACGACCAATTTCTCATATCAACAACACACGTTCGATTCTCGCGAGAAATCAAACAAAAATATAATAATGATGATCAAATGAATGCAGTGGTGTCGAGTCTTTTCTGATGATCAGATTCACAAAGAAAGCAAGAGACGAGATGGGGGGTGGGGGCCAGGTTTAATTTCTCCGTCTTGCTTGGCAGGTAACCTTCATCTTTTGTCTCTCCTCTCTACCTACCTTGGGTGGTTTTGCAGTAGCAGTGACTTTAGTTCTGTTCAGCAGAGAAAACGCTGACATCTATGATACATAGCTCTCAGGAGGCACACACACACACACAGAGAGAGGGAGTAATAATAAGTTTGGCTTTTCAAGCTGACCATTTTGGCTTATGGTTTGGTTAGTTCAGCATTTGGCATTTTACAGTTTCAAGGTTCTTGTCTTGTGTTTCTGTTCGTCTGTCTGAGATCATGTTATTAAGAAAGATAAGATGCTCCAGGTAATGAAATTGATAACTTAATTTAACTATGTACTATTCGACCATGCTCCGCTGTTTTTGTTTGGTTAAAAAAAACGGAAAGATGGTTTGTGGTGAAGGCATGCTGTTACGTACAATGTACTTGTTTAGAGAATGAGAGCCAGCATTGAAGTGGTCCTCTTCTGTTTCCCAACACCTCCTTAATTTGGTTAACAGAAAAGGAAAAAAAAAAGAAAAAGATAAGATCAAGAAGCCACCATTAATGGCTCATGCTTCTCCTTCAAGTATCAAGCATCGGGACTGCTGATATCATCATCATCCTCTGGTAGTCCTAATACTCACTCAGTCTGTTGAACAGACTGCAACTCCATTGTGCTTGACACTTGCAATAATTCAATGACTATGGAAAATAAGCAGACAGCTCGGACCGACTAGAAAATATTTCTTGTTGCAGTTTTCAGGTTTTCTTGTTCGCATTCAAATACAAACAATATGATATGAGAAGTAGTCCAGTGATTTCCAACAGATATACAAGCATGGACCCAATAATTCAACAGTACTAAGGTTGACAATACGACGACCCAGATGAGATTTATGCATTGATGGATCATCTTAAGCGGTGCTTAGCTTTAGCCAGTAGAGATCACCGAGGGCCACCGCATGCGGCCAACCGGTTCTTCTACAGAACTGTAGGTAGTAGGTTTCTACAAGGGATTGGAATTGACTAGCGCCAATATTAAATGAATGGTTTGGACGGGAAAGTAGTGGTAGCTATGGCTAATAAGGAACTGGTCCCATGTACTGCATCTCACGTCCCTGATTATCAGGATCGATAGATAACAGCATGGCAATATTCTGCTTATCAATGTAGGACAGTGAGAAGCTTGTCTTGTTGTTTAGACAAAAACAAGCCTCCAATCCCATCTCTTCACCTTGGTTGTGTTTGGACGACGGAACGACATGGAAACAGATATTGAGTTGAGAAACTGTCGGCAAAAGAAGGCTATCCCCCAAGAGAGTGCTAGCTATGTGATGAGGAGAACCTGTACTCTGGCTGTTCATCTCTAGTTTTTTATATAGAGATCTGTGCACCTGGACCAGCAGATGATCCAACCACATCTGTCTATATATAAAGCACCCAAAAATATATATATATATATAAAACGATCGATGACCTCAAAAACAAATAGCACCCTTTTGTTCAGTAAGTATATAATATATTGAACTCCATCTAAATATTGAGTTAAGTAGTTTTTACATTCCGTTCTCACTTGTTCAATAATGAGAAACAGAATAAATAACGAAAGCCCACCCTTCAAATCCTTGCTTCCCTGAAATCCAACAACCCATGGAGCTCCGGCAGCTGGCAATGCAAAATGGAATCACGTAGTACGTAGATGGTCCCTCATCAAGAGCTATTATTTGTAGTACTGGAAAGAAGGTTTGCATAATTGGGGTACGAACTAGACATTGCCTGCTATAAGACATGTAGATAATCTACCAACTTTGGTCCCTCCATCAAATTGAGTGTTCTTTATTATCCAACATATGAACCCTTCACTCAACAACACAACTTTTGTAGTACCTTGTAGGACAAAACACAATGCCGTTTGTCTTGATTTGGTATAGATGAATATGATCACAAGCCTAATTGCTTTCTGTTTCTTTATATCCCCCAAAAGGGATCTCTCATGCATTTGAGAGTTGAACATTTTCAATTCAAGCACGGTGAGCTTAATAAAGAGAGATCCCTCTCTGGATCATACTAGTTATTAGTTTCGAAGATGAATGTTAAGTCCGGGTATTCTTAAAATATTAAGCAGTTCAAAAGATCCTAGAAATCATATCCATGTTTATGATAAAAAAAATGCATAATTAGCAGGAACAAAGTGTTGAAATATGCATGTATCAAGAGTGGGAAGGAGAACTACATATAGAAATATGCCTCTTTACAAAAGTAACAGGTCTAAAGGATCAGTTCAAGCTAAAAGTTTAAGCCATGGTTTTCAAACGGCCGTTGATTAGGACGGTCAGACCATTCAGCCTGCGAACCATCCAGGTAATCGGTTCCGTTTTATCCCAAACCCAGTTTCTAGCCAAAAACCATTGAATCAGTCAACGATCCATTGATCCGGATTGTCAAACCATCGATTCGTTCAATAGTTTTTGACTTTTTTATTTTAAATTATTTTTTATTATTTTTTAATTTTTTTTATCAGAACTGACCATCCGCTCAAATCGAATGATCAAACCGTCAACCCAAAAATCAGTAACCAGAATAATTTCATTTCTGAATCGTTTTTTACAACCATAGTTTAAGCTGTTTGGTGATTAGGTTTTTAATCTTACATGCCCATTAAGCGTTGACAAGTACAAGCCCACCTATACCATGCGACAAATAAGTTAGCTAGCCTCAATAATGGAAAGAGGATGTTAATTAGAGGGGAGATTCGGTGCAACTCAAGAATAATTTCGTCGCCACTCCACCCTTTTAGGTGTTAGGGTTGAGTTGAAAATGAAAATGGCAGGGTACAAAAAATGGGAAGAAACGAGCCTATGTTTCACTAGAAATTAATTACAAGAAAACGGTTTTTGACATAACAATACACAACAAATTAGTTGCGTTTCCTCCTTACGAGGTGGGGTCCACTCACTTTAAGTAAAGACAAAAGAAAACACAAAAAGACAAGAAAAGAAAAAGAGGGGTTAAAAGGAAAACACTCATTCTCTCTCATACGTTGTTGGGTGACCTTTGGACTCTTGGAGGGGTTCAAGCAAGAATAAGTTGTTAAAAGTCATATCCATAGCAAGCATCTCCAAGAAGAACTTGCATGAGTGTTTATTCTCTCTCGAGAAGATTTGTTCTTATTTTACTATTGTAAATCATCATTTTGGTGAAGATTTGAGCTTGAGTCAAGAGGGTTTCTCTTGATGATAGTATCTTTGGTGCACTTCAGAAACAAAATCATGTTCAAAGAAGCTGAACCAAAGACAAAATAAATAAGAAGAAGAAGGAAGTTTTTCCTATCTTTGCCCTAACTAATTATACATACTTGTTTACACCCTTATGTGTCCTACAAGGAATTTTCTTATTCTAATAAAACACTCCTTATTATAAATCTTATAAAATCTCTTCAAAAAGAAAACCTAATTGAAGGCAAATTTGAAAATCCCATTATAACACTAATTTGATAAATATAAATTAAGATAGAAATTCTTTGGTGGCACTAACTTGCTAGAGAACAATACATTGTAATCACATTATTGTTGCTATATTAGAGAATTTTCTGAGTTAATGTCTCTTTGTTTTTTTTTTTTCTTCACATTGAAAAAGTTTCCATGTTAAAAATTGGTTCTATATGTTTGCTTCTTGTTGCTTTAATGTAAAATTGGTGCTGTTTATTGCTTATGGTTGTTGTTACTTCAAGCTCTATTAAGATATAAGTCTATTTGGAAAAGCCTTTTTCACGCTTGGATTGTGCAGTGCAAAATAAGGTACTGTGATTTCAGAGTACTACATTTTACCAATAACGTATTCTGAAACTAGAAACTGAGTATTCGCAGGCAAGTCTATTTTTCATATTGCTTCCAAGTGTTGCTAACCATTTTATTATGTTTTCGAAACCTACAAAATTAATATAAAAAGGCTAGAATGCTAGATAGAGACATATTTGGTCAATTAAAGAATAATGTAGATGTTCAAATGGTCGATTGCTTCTATTCAAAATTCATTCTGGTCCCATGTACGGATGGAATGCAACAGGCCCACAACAGCATTGAAAAAAGACACAGAAAATTAAAACAAACTATAATAGGTGGGCTGCTTATGCATATAAAAGCTTAGTACTAATGCAGATACCAATCATCTAATTTACTCCGATGGAGTAATTCCCAATGGCTGAGTTTGGAAGGAGTACAAATGTAAATATGTAGACTGTAAAACCTTATACTTTATATTATTTTGTATGCATTTATGTTGTACATATTTGCATTTATATTTTTTTTTAAATTGAGCCTATATTATTCATCAAGTTATTAATTATCCTTTTTTTTCTTAATTTTTTGTTCAAACCCATGTCAATAAGATTTTTTTGGTAACAATGTCAATAAGGTTATTTGGTTCTTTTGACTTAGGTTGTGCTAGTCACTATTTCTGTTTCAACAAATGTTTTCAATTCATTGTTGACATGGCCAGTCACACCATTTGAACTGTCACCCGATTAGGTTTTTGGGTCCAATTCAGTCAAGACCCCTCAGGCAGTCAAGAAACATTCGACCCGGCTGGTTCAACCGTTGACCCATTTGATCTAGTGATCGGGTCGCAGGTTGCACACTCAATGCATGCAAAACTTTAAGAGGTCGTAACTTTGCACTCCACTATTCGATTGGGGTGATTTTTTAGGTAACTTTTCGAGATCTATGTGTTAGTGCCTTTCCCCGCTATTTTCATTAGAAAAAAAAAAACTTGTTTCGCCTCAAATTGCAATTTTTAATATTTGTTATAAATAAAAAATTTAAATACTGAATAAAAAACATAAATTAAATATAAAATAATACATATAACATATCTAAAACATATTTATATATTTAATATATTTATATTAAGTATATAAATATATATACTTAACACATATATACACTGATATGGCACGATCTGAACCGTTCGACCCAGCCAATTGAACCGGTGACCCGCAACCTAAAGGCAAAAACGATTTGACCTCTGGGTCAGTTTTTAAAGCATTGGTTTCAACCAAAAGATTTAGGGTTGATCCATACAAATTGGCAAACAAATATCATTTGAATCTGTTTATAATTGAAACATCAAATTGACATTTCTTGCTCTAGGGGGTGGTGGCATCTAATCATTCTATGAAGTGATATGACATATATCTCACCAATTTGTATTGATCAACCTGATTAGCAGTAGCAGTGGTAGCAATCAAAACCTTAATTAGCAAAATTCTTGCTTTTATTGTTCTCCTGCTAGGAGCTGATTTGAATCAAATGACAGCTTTTAAATTCTAAACAGAGTAATCATAAGAACTCTCTCCTGATCAGCTCTATAGTGCCAGTTATAGTTGGGTAATATCCTTCAAAAAGCTAGCATTAAAGAGCCAATTCAAATGTTGTGATGATTTTTAATTAGTAGCAGTTTATATTAAGACAAGTACTGAAGTACCTCTCGAAAGCCCATCTACATTTTCCGATTAGAATAATATAAATTATGCTGGCTAATTAATTACCGCACAAAACCAAATCTAATCCACAAGTGCAAAAGCGCCTTAAATCATCCAAGGCTCTTATGTTTAGTCCTCCCCCACGTGACTCTGCACTCCCACATTATCCTAAATCAAGCGAAGACAATAAACTAATAATGTAAAGAGAACGATTTGTTTAAGTATAACCCAGTGGGGAGAAAATTTTAATATGGCTAGTTTAACTGAGTCGATAATTAATGTGTACAGGAACTCAGTCTTTTGACTGTGGAATTGATATTTAGGAAGGTGACGTACCTTGGTTTACAACTAAAGCTGGCATCGGCTCAGCTGGCCAGAAAGATGAATGAGCCCCTACAACTGTTGTTACACTGATAACTAAAATATGATTAGTTCTTGGAACTTGTATCTTAGACACTTCGCCCCATACCCAATTACCCCATATACTTTATATTTTATATTTGTGTATAAGATAAGATCCGATGATGAAGGTGAAAAGGGCCACCCTATTGGTTGGTTTTTGGACATTGTTGCAGACTCCAGTCTGCCTGAGAAATCACTACGCCAAAGCCAATTGATGCTCCAACCATGACCCGAAAATCAGATGCCTCAGGGTTCAAACTTAACCTCAAGGCATTAATATTTGCTTTCTTTGCACTTTCAATTGGCAATGCTTAGAAACTAGAATAGAGAATCAGAGAAAGAAGGAATCAAATGGAGTTTTCTGTAAAAGCAACGATTTTGACAGGGGGAAAATGGGGTTTACGGAGTGGAATGGCTAAACCAGATGGTGCTCTAAACCCATACCCAGCTTATCCTCTTCCCCAGATCCTGAGATGAGATGAGATCCCCATTGGTTAAGACCAAACAACGAGATGGCATTTAGGTAATTAAACCACTCTAGTGTGTTTGGCAGAAAGAAAACCCCCCTAACCAGTAACCCCTCGCACATTGGCTGTCTTACAATATTTTGGAGCTCAGCCATTGGTTTCTCTTGTATATACTGCATTAATATAAACAGCTAACTAGACTGGTGATAAACTCATAATAATTCATTAAGTAATAAAAGAATGGAGATGTATAAGACCACAGTGGCAGAGCAAAGATTATATATTAAAGAAAGACACAAAAGAACAGGATTAAAAGTAGATAAAAGACAAACAGAGAATAATTCCCCATTAATGTCCAATTGGATTTTTTTTTAACCCAAACTGGAAATTCTAAAGAGGACCCCATCATCTCTCCCGAGTTTCTCAGTCCACACTTGAATTTTTTTTTTTTCATTTAAGATTCTTATATTTTTAATATAATGAGTTAATCAAGAGTTTCTATGTTGCCTTCCCAAGGTTTCTTCTGACTCAGACCGCTTATTTTATCACCAAAGAGGCTGCAGACCCCAGGCTCCAATAAGACACACAGTCAAACAAAGGGTGAAAGAGAACCCCAAATACCAAAAAGAAATCATCATTTTGCTGACATAAACTATGAGAAAACTGTTTTTTTTTTATATATATTTTAACTATAAAATAAAAGCCCACTTCCATTCTTCTTCTACTGTTTCGGTGCTGTCTATTTTTGTTCCCAAAAGGGACTATTTTTCCAATTTTTCAAAAAAAGAAAAACAAATAACATCAACAAATATTTCTCCAACTTTCCTCTAATTTCGTTTCTTTTCGTTTTTTCCTTTTTTCTTTGTTTTTTGAGATGGAAATGTAAACTACAACAAACTGTATTTATCCAACAGCACAGATGAGCACTATTAATTTTCTCCCTTCCCTAATCTTCTTGGGCGAGTTGAAAATTCTGGTAAATAAACAACTTGACACTTTTCCTTTCATGCCAAAAGCATGAAAACTGTTGATTCCCTTCCTCCAACCTCCATCTCATTTTATTCAACTCCTTTTTTTTCACTTTGTTTTTTTTTTCCTCCTAAAACTCCAGCTCTTTTTCTTTTTCTCTAACTCTTTGTGGAGGGCGCCTGCAAAAACCACACCAAAATTTCCATTCAACCAAACCAAATGATTTGGGTGAGAAGCAAAAACGCCACCTCTGACCTCTCAATCTCATGACTTAAGGTCCACCTCAGATGAAGGATTGTTTAGTTTCCTCCTCTTTGTATCTGGACTAGTATGAGAAGAATTTGCACATGACCCAACTGTTAAATCATCACTCTTATAGCTCAAGCATGCGGCATCTAGGACCCCAATTGGGCTCTGGGGCACTGATGGAACTGAATTATTCGCAACCTTATCAAATTCAAAACCACTAATCAATGACATATCCCGAATGAGTTCAAGACATTTCAACACTCTCTCCTGCAAAACCCATAACAGGCAACCCATTCATAAGCTAACTAATCAAATGGGTTAACAACAAATTATGAATCATGGTTAAGACAACAAAATGATCTTTTGGGTGTGCGGTAAGAAGCACCAATTTTACCTTTTTTACATGCTGTATGAAACAAGAAAGAGCACCTTCAATGTCCCCTGTTTTGGCTTCTCTCAATACAGACATTGCCACTGCTGCAGCAATCTCAGAAGGCCTGAAATCCAAAAAGTCAAGCCCTGCATCCCCATTCCAACCCATCATTGGATCAGTCCATGCTCTAAATTAACTTTTTTCGCCCTTGTAGGCAGAAGAAACCGTGGTGTGTGTGTGTGTGTGTGTAGAGACTAGAGAGAGAGAGAGGTCACCCTTTATTGAGCTTCAGATCAGTTGGANTGCTGCAGCAATCTCAGAAGGCCTGAAATCCAAAAAGTCAAGCCCTGCATCCCCATTCCAACCCATCATTGGATCAGTCCATGCTCTAAATTAACCTTTTACGCCCTTGTAGGCAGAAGAAACCGTGTTGTGTGTGTGTAGAGACTAGAGAGAGAGAGAGAGAGAGAGAGAGAGATCACCCTTTATTGTGCTTAAGATCATTTGGATGGATCTTGAGATGGACGAACTAGGGGGAGGTTGATCATGGTTAATCTTACGGAGGAAGTAGTCTATATAGGAGAAAGGAGTCACAGTTTGCATTCTCCATTTCAAGGTACTCAACACAAGAAGCTCCATTCTCTGTATGGTTCTAGCTTCAAAGACGAATTTGGATTCCCCCACCTGATAATAAACCCAAAGATCAGGACAGTGGTTATCAAAAAGAAATCTTCCTTCAATTCTATATGATTATTATAATTGAAATCGTTTAACCCGATTGTTGCTTCACCTGTAAATCTAGAGAGAGAGGCACTTCAGTCTCTTCCACTTTGGCTGCTAGAGACAAACAGGCTACAGCTAACAACTGCATCATCCAAGCTTTACCTCTCTACCAATGGCAAAGAACAGAATAGAGACAATCAGGAAATGACCTCAATAGAACTATGTCTTAACGAAGAAAGAAACACGTCCTTTTTTGGTCTATTTCCTGAACTTACGGGAAGCTCATAAACTGAAAGGAACCGATCTAAGTAATTTATTGACAAATAGGCACTCAAAGGCCCAAAACTGTAATAGGCATGAACCTGTTAAGAACCAACACAAAAGCATTATTCATCAACATAAGGAATTCTGGATACAGTTCACGAAAAGTAATTCATTTCAGAAGAAAAACTAATCGTCTTCATTTGAGCATCAATCAGAAAAGAGGGCATCCCCGAGAAAAAAAAAACAATATTCTGAACCCAGGACGGAAGAAACCCAAATTTCAATTTCAGAGAGAAAACAAGAATGGAATGGGCTGTATTAACACATCAACATCAAATACGACTAAAAGGAATTAAGAACGATACCCAATACCCAAATCGTTTTTAAGCATCAATGCCAATCAAAGAGAAGTGGAAAAATCGAATAACTATCTCATAAAATCGATATATATATATATATATATATTGATTGGTAAGAGAATAGGAAAATACTCAATAATCGCATTTGCAATCAACTAAAACCCACCTTCCCAATCCAATCGATGGCCTCTCTTCTAACCCCCAAATCCAACTCCCCACTACGCAACCGGTTCAAATAATCATCCCTGGGCAAATGCTGCCATTCCCTCTCAACCATCATTCGCAGACACTCTTCACTCTGTAATGGGAACCCAATCCAGAACTCCCCTGCACTAAAGCTCTGGTTTTGATGATTCGTTCGATGGTTTTGCTGCTGCCAACCATCTCCAAACTCATCCCCAGCCCCATCTTCAATATCTTCAAAACACATGAAAGTATTGTTGTCTTCTGCACAGAGGAGGCTGGAGGCTGAGCAGTCGAAGCTGGGTGTCATTGTAGAACCTCAGAAACCTCTCTGCCTCCACAAATCTCATCAAATGAGAAGAGAAACAGAGATTTATTCAGAGATTATAAGTGAAGAAGAGATTTCCCCTAAACATAAAAGCAACAAATAGAAATGTAAGGTATAAAGCCTAGCAGAGAAAAAACAAAACCAAATGGGAAGATAGAAGTTGGGGGAGTAAGAAAAGCAAGCCTCGAGGCCCAAAGCTGGATTGAGGTCCTTGAGGAGACTGTTGCAAGAGTGGGACTTATGTAGGAAACGAGTGTCTATTTAGGGTAAAAGGAGAGATTGAGGGAGAGGGGCATGGACTGAGAACTGAGAAGACAAATAATATATGTATTTTTATTGGTCCGAATGTTTAAATGTTAATGAAAAATAACTGGGTTTTTTTTTCTTCTGTAATAATTTTTTTTTCTTATTTTTTGAGGTTCATGCCTTCATTTCATGGCAGATTATTTTCTTTACATGACTAGGGATGAAGAAGATGGTTGATGGAATTATTATTCACTGAGAAATTAAAAGATTTGATAATTTAATCACTTAAAATAAGATCTCCCGTACATAAACGCGATTCAGTGAGAGTACAGGTTACTCATCTCCCCTGTGCTTGAGTTATCTACAAATTAAAAAAAAAAAATCTTTCAACTTCAAAATAGTTTTAATTTATTTTATAATTATATATTTATAATTCTAACTCGCCCGTCCCATGAACTAAACAAATTCATTAATCCATTGACTAAAACTAATTACTTTAGCTTACCTCATATGAATTAATGTGTGATAATTAGTAGTTCATTTAATAATAATAATTGTTTCATAAAAGGGTATTTATTTAACCAAATCCATGAGAAATTCCTGAGGAAAAGATGTATTGGTCAATTGATAGCATTTTAATCCTAAAAGATTAGGGGTAAATGTGTAAAATAACTACGGGAAACGACCAACCAATGTTTGCGTTTTTTTCTCCTTTGTCATGGGGAAGCGTGCGCCCTGAAATGTGAAATCTCAGCAGATGACTAGTAGCCGTTTCACTCAGAAATTGCAATTATTACGATGCTTTGGACTTCCTCTTACGTACTTTTGTATACCCAAATCATGTCTATTGTCCAGAATACAGTTATACGAAATTCAACCCTTGACCTTGATTTCACATCCTAGTATTTTCTTCTCTTTTTCTGTTTTTTTTTTTGTTTTGTTTTTCTATGGATTCAAATTCATGATTTTTATGTCTTGTTTATTTTGTCTTAATAAATTATTTTTTCGTAGATATGTCTTAGTAAAATAGTTGAAATATAATTTTTGTGTATGTTACCTGTTATATAAACTTGAAATATTTAAGGTATTCTACTACTTTGATAGAATCTTTTATGTAATAGCAATATTGATAAAAAGAACAAAATTTTAAATTTACCCTTTACAAAGTATAATTGAAGAGAATTTTCTTGATTATACTTGTATAAAATGTTAATAACAAAAAATAGAAGAGAATATGACATGAATCAGGACGATGACAACAACAACAACAACAATAACAATAATTCTACTATTATTAGCAGGTAATAATAATAGAAGAGAAGAGAAGAGAAGGAGAAGAACAAGGAGTTTCTTAATTTTTTTTTAGAAATTGAAGAGAGTTTCCTTGATGATACGTCGATTAATGTGATTGTCGAACTCCCTCCCATAATTATTGCGACCATAGCTAGGCTAACAAAATTTCATTATCACTTTGTCGACGAAAATACAACAATGAATGCAATGCAATTATATTTAAGCATTAATGGATCTAGAAAACTTTTTTCGATATGTCATTGTTTGTAATTATTTAAAAATAGATAACGAACAAATATTTAATGTAGATAAATTGAATAAATATATCATAAAGAGAAATCTTCGACTATCCATGTTCGACAGATTGTGCTATATATAGGCTCTCTCCATGTGACACATCAGTTCATAATACTATGTCTTACCGTTATTGTCGCACGGAGTTTGTATGGACTAACGTGTCATGTAGAAAAAGCCTTGTAAACAGCGGGAGGGTTGTCGAACGTAGATAGCTAAACTTTTTTCTCGTGATAAAATCTTTATAAATTCCATTGCAACCCTATTATCGGCCTTTCTATAATACCAAACAAGTCCTATGATTTAATCTTCAAATTAATCATAACAAAATATTTTTTATAAAGGGAATTTCTCTTATTTTTGCAAACAAAATATCCTTTTTAATATTCTCAAACATTCAAGATACCATATATTAAATACCTATGTTTTTTTTTTTTTAATTTTAGGCCCATGATCCAAAACATATTCAAAAGGATGATGGTCCAAGACCCATATAGCCCATCCCCTTTACAGTGTCACATTTTTAATGAACATTTTCTATGTCTCAATTGAAACTAGATGTGGTAACTAAAAAAAATGAAAGTAAATCAATGCATCATGGGGGTTGAATAGAAATTTGATCTGGTTTGGATTGGAAAATTTGGGTTCTGACATCAGTTTGGGTCCAAGCTCAAGTCTATATTTGCTGTTTGGATTGGCCCGTGATCTAACTCAATCTATCTACTTTATGACCTTACTTTATTAGAGAAAGACAAAAGAGGTTGAGAGATTTAAGAGGAGAGATCAAACAATTACTATTATAGGGAGAAGGAGATTTTAAGAATAATCTCATTGAAGAGAATAATGATGAATTTTGTTAGAGAATTAAAACCTAAGAGGGCTTGTATTTTGACTTCTTTTATTTTTAATAATTTAATCTGAAAAATAAAGTAATGAATGTGCAAAAAAAGAGAGGATAAAAAAGGTCCAGATGATAGGACTCTTGTTTTGATATAAACAAGAAAAAAAAAAAGAACTTTGACCAATGACGACCCCCTCCCGGGGCAATGAATTTTGATGATTGGTGAATGCCAGTTAATGGGTTATCAATATTTTAGGTATCATACGTTTTTTGGCATCGTATTCGGATGCATACACATATACATACGATGTAATGCAAAAACAAACCCTAGGTAACCGTAGGTTTGTCGGGAGGCCCCACAAATCTACGGTTATTGAAGAGAAATATCTATATCAATGAAACAACACTCCATAAATCCCATTGCTGTTCTCGTTAGTTGGAATCCTACTTTTCCTACTATAGAATGCAAAAACAACGTGTACATGATTAATGAGTTCTTTTTTTTTATTTTTATTTTTTGTTTTGTTTTTGACAGAAAATTAATGAATTCATAAACTAGGAGGATTTGCTATTGCCTATTGGAGGACGAAATCTCCGACCGGTTGTCCTGTCCGATGACCGGATTTCGGGGCTAAGTCACTCGTCATCCCTCTTGGCTTATTCATGTGGGATTCTGCTGATCTGCTCTGCCCATACGAAGACCAACTCATCTCGCAACTCCCAACGAAACATTGGTTTTGAAGGAGAAGGGGTTTTCACAGTCTAATCCTTCCAGCATGGATGTACAAACGAGCTTAAATCAGCCATGGAACCAGACAAAAAAGTTATGGAAAATCAGTCTAAATCCGGTGATGGACAAAATAAAATTAAAGAGTTGTCATTTTTTTGGACCAAATGAATCGGAAAAAGGCATGTACTCTTCTCTCGCTTTCTTTTCACAAATGGAACAACCCCCCTTTTTAGGAAATTTCATCCAATCAGCAGAAGTATTAAAAAATATATTATTCGAAAATAATCTAGAGATTTAATTGGTGGGTCGGGTCGGATTGGTCCATGGTTCATGAATTGGTACACCTGATATCCTATTTCCTATAGACTATAGTGTGTAAATGAAGCTTTGTCTAGTCAGGTTGAGCAACTCGTTCTCACATGAGAACGAATTAGAAGATAATTATGGATATGGTTATAGCTACTTAGCTGGAGGGACTTTAATTTAGGGGCGGGGGGTAATGGTTTGTATTTTGGCTATTAACTTAAGGATGCAGCTTCCAGTAAAATAAAAAAATATGGGGGGTCACTGGGTCTGGTTCTTGCTTAATCAAAACATAGAATAAGCCATGTGCATGTAGAGATGAGAGAGGTTTCACAGTAAAATGCTCCAAAAGGGAAAAATGCTTATTATTTCTTATCAGCCCGACTCATCTATCATTCATGTGGTACAGACTATGTGAAACCAGAGCTGTGGAAGGGAAGCTGGATCCACCAACCTGCTGAGCTCCATTACCCATTTTATTGATTTTCATTCTGTCATTTGGCTTTCGTAGTTGTAAGTTCTAACTCAACAAATATCACTGACCTTTAACCCGACCCGAACCAGATTAGAAGAAAAATAAAAAGGACAAGTATGGGTTGAAGACAGTTGGCAAAGAGTTGGTGCCGCGACTGAAGAGGAGGAATCATAGTCAATGAAGCTCACGGCACAGAGCAGAAGGTGAGGGTGAGGGAGGTTAAAAGCGTGATCAGGAACGGGCCAGGACTCGTTGCAACATTTAATGAGATAAAATTACTATAATGTTGTAGTGATTCTTACGGCATTGTATTAAGATGCGACGATTATTTTTCATCAATCATTCTTATCTTCATTACCTAAATACGATTGCTACGACTCCATGGAATCATTTCCTCCCGGCCTAATAAAATGGTTATAATACCATTTACGGAGATTGACCACAAGAAAAGGTAAAGACAATCATGGTATCGTTGAGGGCCCACAGACAGACTATTCGACAATACGACATTATCAATTAATTGAAAAATCAATTAATCAATTAATTGATTAATCAAAACCAAATTGACGGTCCCAATGAGATTAAATTTTAATCCGGTCAACGACGGCACCCGTAACGAATAACGAGAAAGAACATCGTAGATCTCACATTACAGTATTACAAATGTACGTACTACGTAAGGGTGTTATCGTCATTCCAAACAAGACATGAAAAGCTGTTTCATATTTCAGAATAACTGCGTTTTAATCCATGATCCATGTCACGGTCGGAATTCCATACCTTGTACCATCCGACGGTGCCCAGATTGTGTGCTTGTCATCCCACCAACCACAGTAAGACACATAACCTTCGAACAACGGAGGGTTATATTGTAAATGTACATTATAAGTTGGTAACGTATCCGACTCAGACGGTTGTTATGCTGATGTGCCGTGTCATGATTGGCCCAGTATCTATCTACCGTTAGAGCCGTAGAGGATTTGAAGAGGAGTTCACTCAAACCGAGAATCATGGCCTTTTAGATGTAACCATTGCTCTGGCTCCACTAAAACGTCACCTCATTTAATTCAAAGGTGGGACCAGAGTGAGAAATACATCAAAGGCTTTGATTTCCTTGTTAATGGTTTGTTTGAAAAGAGCTACTGAGCTACAGTTGGTAGCTACGGGTTCACCCATTTTCTCCTCTTCCCAACAAAAAAATTGTCCCACCATGATTTGTGTCCGCACATCTCCCATGATCCGGATATAGTTGAA